CATCCATATGTTTTACACTCACTTTGTGTTATTGCGGCAATATTCTAAGCACTTCGTTAGTTATAAATATCTATATATTTCTTTTTGTTTCAAATTGCATATTGTTATTTTCTTCACGTTTCTGTAAAGTGAAGGGAAATTTATGAACTCCAAAGAATTGGTTATTTTGACTACAGTTGCAGTTACAGCTTCAAGTCCATCGTCCTACTTCAGTCATTTCTTTGTTTACGAAGTAAACAATTCACCAAGTTTTAGCTGAAGTGGACAATGGTAAGTGAAATAACTGCTGCGCTTTTGTGTCGCTGGCACTTTGTTTGAACATTTAATATTTCAGACAATCTTTTTGCAGCTTTGTCTTCTTTGCATATTCTCATTCTAATGGCGCTGCCGGCTGCAACAGACTTGTACTTATTTTCTTACAGTACGTACAACACTATCGACTCACCCGTATCCATTTGACTTGTGGCGGTGGTGTTCCCTGCGCCTTACAATGCACCTTCCCCACACTGCCTAGCTCTAAGTTCTTTGACGTCGGTTGCGGCATGAACTTCAACTGTTCGATGACTTGTAACTCAGCAGGCTCCGAAGTAATCGGCCGATGACCTTCCACGTAGATTTGGCAAACATATTGTCCGGCATCGCTGGCAAACACATTCGTGAACAGAAGTGAGCCATTGGAGCGGCTGAGCACTAGGCGGGAATCTTCGCGCATCGTCAGCTCTTTGCCTGACTCGGTAGGCGTCGAAGTTGAGGCGGCGGCAGTATCACCGATTTCCACTGTTCGGAAAACTTTACCATCTTTGCGCCAACGTAGCTGCACTTGGCGATATTTTTCTGGCACCGAGTGTGCACAGAGCAATTCGAGAGGCTCATTTTCTTTGACGCGTTTGCTGGCTGGACCCTTAGTGATGGTAACATCTATAACGGCCGGCAATTTGTCTTCGCCCGTTTGACCACCGCGCTTGCCGCGGCAAAGGAAGGCTTGATTCAGTGCTTCAATGGGTAATTTTTGATTTTTCTTGAGACGCGGTAAGCAACTGGAAGTGGTGAAGGCGGCACTGCTACTTCTACCACCATCACTTCCTCCAACAATGGCCCGCTCAGGCAAGCCATTAGCGGCGTTCGACCACTGCAGCACGTAACCTCTTTTGCTCATCGCTCGTCCGGCCGCATTGGAGGCAATGCAACGATAGAGACCGTTGTCAGCAGCATGGGGTTGGCGTATAATAAGACGATTTTGTTGCAATTCAATGTTTTTAAGGGTACTCAATTTTTCGCTGTTGCGAAACCATTCGATTTCGAGCATTCCGTCTCCAGAAGAGCCCTCCACATGGCACTTGAGAGTGACTTCATTGCGATTGCCACTCAACAATTGGACGGAGGCCGTTCGAATCCCTGCAAAGATGAGAGAAGATAAATAAATACTGAAGGG